TTGGCTTGAAGAGCATTCTAGGTTTAACTTGCTCATAGATTATGTGGTTAGGGAAATTATTAATTAATAATGAGAAAATTGTTAGTGTTTGCGAGGTGTAACAATTTAATTCCTAATACAAATGTAGCATACCCGGGTACGTCTGGACATATTCCAACTTCCGCTTTCTTAAGAGGGAGACTACATGAGTCATCAAATTATCTATGAATGTCAGTAAAAATGCTAGTCTAACGTTAGCCAAAAACCTCAAAGAACAGAAATGTAGACAGTATACACAACTTTGTGCACTCAGATCGAAAATTAAAGTGTGCGTCTGATAGCAGAAGAACTGAATATAATAAATAGGGAAACAGTGCGGCAAATTCTAACAGCGGATTGTGAATGGCGAAAATGATGTTTTAGGAGTTACCAAATTCCAGGCTAACATATTCATTACAAAATGAGCCATCATCTGTAGCCAACAGTGTTGGTCAGTATGATATTTAACTATTTCCCAAAATTGTGTTTTGGGAAATAGTTAAATATCATAATAAGCACAAATGTGGACAGAGTGGAAATCTTTGTGCATTCAGATCGAAGAAAAAAGCGTGTGACTGATAGCAGAAGAACTCAATATAAATAGGGAGACAGTGTGGCAAATTCTAACAACAGACTTGGGAATGGTAAACTTGAAATTAAATAGAAGAGAATGAAAAGACACTCACAAAGATTCAAATAGAGATAAAAAAAATGAAAGCGTGGTTTGAATGATTTGACTCTATTCGTTTACATTCGTTTGAAAAAAGAAGTAGAAAAGCAAGATTTAAGCATGGTGAATATTGTGTGATATCAGATATTATCCGAACTGACGGTATCATGAAAGTTGAAAAGTACAAGACGACTTTCATTTATTACGCCATGCTTTCTGGTAAAGCGTCTCACAATGTATGACAATAATCCAAGCATACTGCGAATGCAGTGTAATGCTATCTTCTCATAAAATAGCTAGAAGAGCAAAAGATAGTGTAGGATTTATCTCGACAGTGACTCGATGTGAATAGTATAAACTGTAGCCTCAACCAAGGGGGAAACCGACGTAATCCAGAATTTAATAAAGTGCTCTAGGAATTTTAAAAACTGTTATAACTTACCAGGCAATTATTTTATAAACATTTGACAAAAGTGACTGTAGTGTTTTACTACTAAGTATTGACTGTATTTTTTACAACAAACACACACACACACACACACACACACACACACACACACACACACACACACACACACACACACACACACACACACATACATATATATATATATATATATATATATATAACTAAAGTATAACCCGTCTTCGACCGGCTCTTTCTTATTGGGAATTTTTGCCGTTTAATTGGAGCAGTTTAAGTCAGCCCACCCGAAAATCAGTATTAGTAACAACAATTAGGTACAACTGAGGCACATCCCCAATTAAGGGGATTAACAATTTTAATGGTGGGACCTTGAAAAGGGCCATTTTGCGTTCCCAATCTTGTTTCAGTCTCACTCGCAGCAGCAGCTGAAGAGGCGTTTCTCCTCAGCTATTGAGTCTTTTGATCATCATTTTAGCCTCGCGCAAAAGCGTTCAGGTAGGCTCTTCTACATTGATCTTCGGACTTAGTCGCTCTGATTAAAGCATTCTGAGAGGCATTTGTGACAGGAAAACTGAACGTTCTAAAGACGATTCGTTATCTCTTATTCGCATGGCGGACCAGACTAGGCAAGTTCTTTTCTTTGGTGGCATGTCTTAGGCAAGTATGAATTGTCAAATGGAATGCGTGGGCAATACCAGAAAAGAACGCTGTAAAGCTACAGGGATAATTAAGCTTGAATAACTTCAGGAAAGGTTGGAGAAATAAATGCTGAAAAAATAAAAAAAATATATGTTAAAAAAGCAAGCTTACTTATTACTACGGTGAATACAATGCAAAAACTGGCAGGACAATAAAAAAATAACTTGGGAACGGCTATAAACGACAATGAAAGCAACGCCTTAAAACTGTAGTAGTAGGTTTTATGCAACAGAAAAGGCAACCTCACTTGAAAGAGATTGGATGCTTGGCGAAGAGAAGGGCTGGACGTACAGAAGTAGAAGCGGCATTGAGGCATTAAGCAGTAACAATGAGCTTAGTAATGCGTAACCAATCAGTATGACACAGCGACACTTGACTGGACGTGTAAAGGAGCTTCGTGCAGCCAATGGGCAACTCAAAGAGGTGTCACGATCCGTAGTTCATGCGTATGCGCGTGAACAGCACGTGACACATTGCGTGACACGGCGCGTATTGCAGGGCGACACGTATAAGCGTCGCTGCACGCACTAATTATAAGCAGCAACTGATGGGCAACCTGTGGAGGTGTGAATCACGCCCACACAGCATAAGCTAGGATTGGAAGGTTATATGTGAAAAAGTAAATTAAATTATGCCTTTGATTTTCGCGCAAAGTGTAAAAAATCAGTTTTTTAGAATGTCCACCTTTAATGTTGTAATTTTTTCCAGCCAATTTGGACTCAAAACCGGGACTGAAGAATTATCTATCAAGCAAAAACATTCATCGAAATCGGGTGAAAACTGTGGAAACGCATAAATAACATCCGATCGCACAAACACGCACACACATACATACATAGACACACACATTTTGAGACTTATAGATTTCAGAAAACTAGAAAAATTGCTCACTTGATATTAGGTGTATATGTACGTATTCGTAAACTGATCTTTTGAGTAAACCGTTCAGATAAAATGTACTTATATTTTTTGCTTGAGGGAAGAAATTAAAATAATCCCTAAAATATTGATGTGATCGAAAATAAAACGGTATTTTCGATAAAGAATTATCCGTATATTGTCGATTGGGCCGACATGCTCATCTTATTGGGAGGAGTCTCGTTATGAAATGAATATATAATTCTTTGATTTTCGTGTTCCTCACACTCTCCAGAAGTCCTGAAGAATCGATATTTCAAATAGCTCCTATATCATAGTCACGTTTGATAATGGACAATTCGAACAAAATACCTGGCAATGCAGTCTCTATAGACACATATCAAGACACTGATTATTTTGTTAAATATTGACTGGCTTTAGAAAATGGAGGAAGAGCTTTTCTGAAGGAGACACGTTTTCTGTTCGACATATGTCAATTGTTGATCATGGTGTTCACATGTAAATGTGGAATTTTCATTAAGAAACTCTCGTAATTGTTTTTCTGTTCGTAAATGCTATTGTTTATTATGGCATATTTTTAAATTGGTTGTATACAGTATTTTTCAAGTAATTTCTCAGATACATAAATGTTGTATGATGCCACATGGAAATTTAGTTAACTCAATCCTCTTGTAGGTTACCTCTCTCTATAACATTGCTATGCATTTGACGTTATGAAGATATTGACATTTTCAGGAACACCAGGTTTAATAAGAATTTGTTTACATCAATTGATAATCATAGATTTATATGTAAAAACAGATCACTTCTGAAAATGTCAGTTGTAAATTTAAAGAAACATTTGCATTTATAAATTTATTATTACCAAGCTTAATCTTCTTAAAAGTAAAGACGACATATGTGGCTTTCACTGCAATACCATAACATTTGAGGTAACGACTAACGATATCAAATGTTTTTATAAAATATCAGATATTTCTGTTAAAATAATAAAATTTAATTAATTTTTCAAATAACTGCATTCATAAACTCATTCCTAAGGATGGATGAATTTTTCATTAAATTTTAAAAATCTTTTCTATCTACACTTTTGCTTGTTATATCATACGTTTCACATCTCGAAATTAAATGAATTAATAGAAAAAAAAAGTTGTTAAAAATCTTGCACACAACACTAGAAAAATAGCTTGACATAAAGTTAGCACTGTGCAATATATTTACTTGTAGATTGATATTCCTAGTTGTTCGGTCCTAGAGCTTATCAGTACCACTCTCCATCTTTCTGTCTCTCTCTCACACACACACATACACATACGCACACACACGCCTCTCTCTCTCTCTATATATATATATATATATACATATATATATGCACGCACATATATATATATATATATATAGAGAGAGAGAGAAAAAAGAGATATATATATATATATATATATATATATATATATATATATAGAGAGAGAGAGAGAGAGAGAGATTATATACGTATATACATAAAGATAGAGAGAATAAATATGTATACATATATGCACATACACATACATATATTTTGTTGAGCATTTTCTTTACAACTAAATAAACTGAAAATCAAGAACTTTACACACACACACACGCACACACATACACATCACACACACACACGCACACACACACACCACACACACTCACACACACACATATATATATTCTCAGAAAGTAAGGCATAGTATTGATTTTCATGTGAACGACAACAGATGCAAGAAATGAAGGAGCAACAAAGAGCCAGTTTAACAAGTACAAAAACACTATTTTCTCACATTTTCATAGCATCGATGACATTTTCAAGAAAATGTCTACGATTTAATCCTTCCATCGGTCTGAACTTAGCTATTTACACATCGCTTTCATGTCGCGACATTTTACTAGACTGCTTCTCAACTACAATCTTTAACGAGGCAGAATAGTATAGATCATTCGCGAGAAGGTTCAACCTCTACTGTCATAGTAGCGGTTGAACATAAAATAAAATAAAAGGCATTAATTTTTGCTTGATTGATTCGTTTTTTACGGCTTATCAACCCTTTAAAGGTTATTTAAAACCAGAAAATATTTTAGATTGTAAGAATTTTTTAGATAATAATGGTTTAATGATACAAGTCTTACTAATTAACCTATAGCTGGAGGGGGAGAAGAGGTGGATTCATACCTACCCAATGGTATTTGTGCGTAAGTGAATATAATAAACCCAACGAGAATGGAAACTCGGCTCTCCCAATTAACAATTCCGAACCATTATCCATTACACCAGCCACATATTCATGGTTGCAGCACCTGGTATTCCTAAGCGGTAAACCATCTAGCTGTTGACCAGGCTCGACGTTGTTTAACTTCGGTGATCATACCGGAACCGGTGTTTCAAAATGATGTGGCCAGAAGCCGTATTCATTTTTTCGATCATCATTATAGCATTTGTGATATAACTTCATGCGTTATAGTATGCTCCACGTGTGCTATGATATGCCGATTATATATAGCAGGAACGAATAACATCTGTAAGTCTTGCATTATACTTGTATTAATTATGGAATGCTGGTTAAATACGTATTAGATATTTTTCATACATCAATATATTAATATTTAGCATTAAATGTAATTATGTTAGTTGACATTTTATAGCTGAATGCACAAATTTGCATCTATTATGATACAATTAAGATTCATTTAGAAAATGACATGAAGTGAAACTGGAAAAAAATTGGAAGTGAAATTTAGTATTCGAAAAAGCAAGAAGGGAATTGAGCGGCAAATCAACTTATTATTGCTTTACCTATATAGAAAATTTTCGTTTGATTCTATTTAAAATAGACTTTCATATTAGCAACATTCATAAATGTAAGTAAAATCGAACATGAAAGACCCAGTTTTGTAAGAGATAATTTAATAACTATTGAATAAACAAGAGCAACATAAATGGAAAAGAAACACAATATACAATAGTTTACAGTCGATACCAGTGAAAGATTTATTATTTAAAGATTATTTAGAAAATATAGTGATGTAATTTCAAATCATGAATTAGAGTGCAGATAATACTGTGAAACAAATCAGAAGTATTTTAAGAAAATTTATTTCATTTTCATCTGAGCTCGGCTTTCTTGTCCTGATGGAGTTGTTGAGATTTATTGTAAATAAAATACAATTTTGGCACAAGGCCTAAAAGGGGGAAAGGGTTGAGGCTGACCGTCACTTACTATCTTATACCTAATTAATCCGATTCACGACCTATTCACGAGTTAGAAATTGGAACATCGACCATAAGAATTCATCCATCATCATTCAATCCTCCATATACCGTAACACCGCAATACTCTCAGGGCACCTAGAAAAACATATCCCCATGACATAAACATTTAATGAGCATAAAAATCTCTATATAAAAATCTGTAAATGATACGCAATGAGGGAGTGGGGGCTGAGCCTAAAAGACAAACTAAAAATATCATAAAACAAACAAAATAAGATAACTGATGTTAGTTGAACCCACCAAACTCTAAAAAGATTTAAGAGAAACCGCTGTATTCTGTTTTTAGACAAAATCAAAGAGCTCTCTAGTTAAGGGAAAGAGGAAGGATAAACTAAATACGGCCATGGGAAAAGACAATAGTTGACCCAGTCGAGATGAAAGAAAGGGGCCAAAAACAAACTGGGGAGGTTGAGAATCTTGACTTGGATCCTAACCAAAGTAGAAGACGAGAAGAGGCCAGGAACAAAACTTGCTAGGTACACAAAAAAAGATTTATCCTAACTAGGAAGGGCTCCACAGGAAACCAATCCGATGTAACTTAGGTGAACCTAAAAAGAAAAAAAAGCTAGCCCCGTTCACACGAACAAGACTCGCCTCAGTTACCCACCTTTCGCTGAAATCTGTCGAAACCAATTGCTTTCTATCAGTTCTAATCTTCATTTTGAGTTTGATGCTCAAAAATCGGATTAGATTCTGATGGAAATAATGGTTACTTCCTCCAATCGCGTCATTCAAATCAACATTTGGGCCTTGGCCAGCAGCGATAGAAACACCATCTGTTTCACCCCAAAATACTGTGGCGACACATTGTCACACGCGTATGCATAATCAATGAGCACAAGCTTTTCGGTAGTGATACGAGCTGTCAACTCGCCGACATGTTCCCATAGGGGGCGGAAACGAGAACAATGGTAGAAGGCGTGCAAAGCCTTTTCCTCTAAGCCAAGGTCACATCGTTGACAGTCTGGCAAGTCCGCCAAGCCCCATATGAAGGCCGTGTCATTATACATACATACATACGCCTCGTTTTTATTTTAAAAAGTGTGTATTACATCAATCGGTCTGTAAATCTGGTGCCTTAGACGGTGGTTTCTTCTACAAAGGGCAAAGATAAAATACACAATGTTTAATATAAAAAGAAACGGGGCGTTTATTTCAAATACGGTTAAAAGTGATGTTTGAAATAATAAAGATTTGTACATCCTTTATATATATATATATATATATATATATATATATATATATATATATATATACTTGAAATTAATTCTGCATATCTAATATATTACGTTCGCTAATATATTACATTCGTAAAGTGTGAAACAAATTTACTTATTTTAAATAAGTTTTCTTATTTACCTTCGAATCTTATTAATCTCATCGCTCATCCCATTTTTGTTGATACTGTAGAATTATATTAATCATGAAGTCTGATATTAAACACGCGTATAAAGTGCAAATCCAATAGAATCATTGGAAATGCTAGATATTTCCAATTCCCTGTAGAAATGTTGCAAAATGGTTTAATCAGTTTTTCAACAGTGATCAGTGACCAGGCAGCAGGCTAATCTCAATTGAAAGCTAGGAAAGTGTTAGCTGATCCAAATCAATTCAAATGACATCACGTCTTTGTCTTAACTTCACATATTTTTCTTAATTCTCTAATTCCTTGGAAAGGCATTTTCTCACATGCCAGGCCGAGCTACGTATCAGTTTAGCAAGTTAATTTTCTTGATTTTAATCACTAAGATTAAAGAGACTTGAAAGATAATATTTTCGCGCAATTACGTTGTATTAACTCGGATTATTAAGAGTGTAGTCTGAGCTTTAAAAATATTGATCGTATTATTCTTACATAAAAGTATTTAGTTTTTTTTCTTGGTGTAACTGAACACTGATTCAGTTTTTAACATTGTTTCTTGCTTTTGTGGTAGCCTTTTGAAATATTTGCTTCAATACGCAGTACAAGGTCAAATTTATTTACTAAATTTTAAAATCTTTAGATCGAGATAAGTCATCAAAATTATTTGATATGCAATTTTGACAAACTTTCAAACAGCAGCTGAAAAATAGAATCCTGTTGTTTAATGTGAAACAGCCAAAGAAAAAAAAAACAAAAAGATGCGCTCCCCATTATTTATAGTTTGTATGATTTTCATGTGCATAACTCACAATTCAAATATCTACACCGATTATTTTTTATTGAAAATAATTCTCTTCCGTAATAATTAAAATATCATGATACAAATGGAAGCGACATGTCAGTTTTAGTTTTTTAGTGGAATGAGATTGTCATTTGGGCAAAAATACTCATCAATAAGAAAGCGAACATTTTGGGATTTAAAGGCCTTTACCTGGATTTTTATTATATTACTCTTAAGTAGAATCTTTTTTTGAAGCGTCATTCATGAATTTTCATGAGAGAAACGATACATTAAACCTTGGGGTCATTTATTAATGGCTTATTGTCACTTTTTTCTCTATTATATAAAATAACTGAACCAAATACACTGGTACAATAATAGTCTGAAACTATTCTTTAACAGCCGGTGTGTACTCGAACGTCAAATTATGTGGATGGCCCTACATTTACCATGCTAACTACATGAAGGTCGACTGCATTGTTTTCGGGGAAAAAACATGGACTAGCGTGAGAATTAAGAGTGTTAAATATAGAAGAAAAGATAGACCGATGTTGATTTAAGGTTTAATTAACTCTTCCCAGTATTATTCAATGGGACTGGGATCTGACAAATAGATCTGAGGGTCTAGAAGAAGAAAGGCATAGAATGGCATGGGGAGGAAGTAGTATCTTCGAAGTTCCGGCTCAGAGGAGCTGTAAGAAACAAATATTCCTGATAAAGAAAATTGGTCGGTGGAAGAAAGTAGGTCTGACCACTCATCTTATAAACAGTAGAATTACTCTGAAAATATATGTGAAGTACAAAATTGGCATGACAGGACAATTACCAGTTATCATAGCCTAAACCAATTGTACTCCAGTTATTTTTGCAAGATTTTGTCTAATTTAAAGTTGCTCATACTAACCATGACGCTGGGAAAGGTCAGTGCTCTGCCACAAGCACAGAATATTATTTTCAAGAAAACCAGTATAAGACCCTACTGACGAGTTGCCGAACTAAAATATTAAGAGCAAAATATGCTGGGGAAAAAGTGGCTGAAATTTACGTAAGCTCCAAGAGATTTAGATATTTGAACTTTTGAATAAGAAAAAAAACATAGTGTTGATAAACAATACCGTGAGATGCAAAATTATGTTTGTTACGGAAAAGAGAGAAACATTGAAAAACACTTAATGTTTTGTGTGAAACTGTAGCCGAATATGAACTAAAGATGATAGGAGTATATCGTTCACCCTATATAAAAAGACAAATACTTACTAACGTTGCAAGGGAAAGTGTGTCAATTCTAAATGTGTCTATAGCGAACTTGACTAATAACTGACAAAACATTAATTGGCTGATTTATAATGCCCAACATTGGGGGTGGGACCTTTAGTGTAACAGAAGTTATGGTTGTGCAAATAGGAAAAGCCGGAGACATTTTAGAGCATCTTTTGAAATTATTGGCAGTAATCAAGCGTGGCTATCTTTACAGTTGTGACTGGACCACACTAGAGCTAAAATTGACACGCTCTGACTGGGACACTTATCACCTAGCAGTGTTTTTTTTTTTTTTTTTTTAAGTCCAGGCTCTTGCGACTTCAATTACAGTTCGACTTAAGCACACATCCATGTTCGGTTACCTGTACTTGTCGACCTTGAAAACAGATTATGGAGCTCTTACAGATCACTTGGATGTGTGGTCCTGATGAACAATGGCAGGTTGTTAAAACCAGTATCAGACGAAAATTCTGTTCCTAGTTGTCAGCCAGTAGGTGTTGTGGCATGATAATCATTGGCCATGCCTTTTCTTATGGGTATTTTTTATGCATGGTGATGGTGTTGTAAAAATCGGAATGAAAAAAGAACCGATTTAGGAAATCGCCGTTGGCACGCGGTGGAGACAAAGGACACTTGAAATGACATCATTGAATGAAGCCGGTGACTGAGATTGACAGTCCGAAATGTAAATATATGAGAATGTCACTAAGACGCGTCTGATAGA